AGCCAGGGTTGATTGACCATTGGGGGTCGACTCGGCTGGGGCTAGACGTGCACCTATGGTCATATACGGTTCAGACTTACGAGTCAGATCCGCAGAGGTGGCGGGCGCCTGGCACGACGTCCATAGAGGCCGTAGGGCATATTAATTACTCACGTGAGGTGAGCGTCGTCGTCTATATCCAGGGCTTGGTGCATGGGTTCTGGCGGTATGATAGAGAGGTGAGAGAGATCCTGACAGGCGTGATAGAGAGTGCACGAGAGGGGATTGAGCATCTGTATGGGCTTGTAAGGGAGATAAGGATTACGTTTCGGATAGGAGGGTTTGCTATCCCGACAGTCCGACTACGTGCCGGGTTCCCGGTCTTTGTAGTGGAGCAGCTTTGGGGCTTGGGGCGCGTCGGGGAGAGATATTTCGCGGCTCTAGGGCTCGACGGACTAGCTAGAGGGCAGACGGACCGGGACTGGATTGCCTACGCACAGTTCGTAGGCGGGCCTCTTACTGGAGAGAGGGGGATACAACTTATAGAGTTCTTACGTGCTCTAGCGCCTACAACAGACCCCCACTCTTCCTTCCCGGGCCAGCCCTTGGAGTTCTAGCTGACACTAGATAGGGAGGTCCAGAGACCAGTGGATAGTTTGGAGGGGGTCAGACGACTCTTTAGCGAGACTCCCGGTGATAGGCCTGCTTCCCTCATCTCTATCTGGGAGTTGGAGGAGCATTACCAGGGGATATATCCAGATAGAGAGGAGCTCGGCTGGGACGCAGACGATCGAGACTGGGAACGCCTCGGCAACGCAGAGCTTTGGGGACAAGACGAGAGATTGTGGAGAGATGTGTCAGACGTAGGGAAGGACGAGATTGGCGCCGATATAGACGGGCCGCAGGAGGACGGCTGGGGACATCTCCTTCAGGCCGAGGGACAAGAGGATATCCCATGGGGTCAGGGGGTAGATGAGGATGGAGATGAGGACATGCCAGATGCGCGAGACGATTAGTGGCAGGGCATATCCGGGCATAACTTAGAGAAGGGAGAAGGAGATCAGTTAGTAGGCAAAGGGGAGAAAACTTTAGGCAAGACGAGAGTGGCAGTAAGAGCAAGAAGGGATGGCAGATAGGGATACACTGAGAGTGACTCTTTCCTTACGACGAGATAGGACGGGCGGCTGGGAAGAAGAGGTGTTGGACAATGTTGAGCGACAGATCAGACTCATGACGGAGCATGCCTTGGAGATACGGAGAGGCCAGAGATACGTCGAGTTTACTATCTACTTCCATGGAGCCGACGGGAGAGTGCACAACACCTACTCGACCATACTGGACCTGAGTGGGAGAGTTGTCTGAGGAGTTAGCAACATCGTGAGATAGGGTGCGTCGAAGGGAGTAGGGTGACACAGATCGAGTGGCGAAGTGGAGATGAGGAGTGACTCGGCGGCTTGGCTAGCTTATGTTCTCTCACGAGAGTCCGAATCCTATAGCGTGAGGAAACTTGTAAGACCTAGAGAGACGGCTGTTGGATATGATATTCCTCTTCCTGTGAGGCTGGAGGAGATAGGCTGTGTTCCGATATGTTACCTTGGAACTCGGCTGGCAGAGGGACTTTTCCTTTGGACGGTGATACTGAAAGATAGACGACCCGAAAGGACTCATGACCTAGAAGGGGTGAGACACCTGATAACGGACAGAACTCTTGATTTAGACATAGGACTGACACTCGTAAGGGCCAGCAGGGCTTGGTGGAGAAACGAGTTGTTGGCCAGAGTAATCGTTAATCAGCAACTGGCGAGACTCTCTGGAGGAAGGTCGTACTGGAGTCCCTTGGTATACGGACCTCTGCATCCGACCTTCTACCCGAGAGAGGGTTGACGATTTGGACTCCCTGCGTTCGTAATAGGGCAGACCTACGGGAGCGTAGGCCGTCTGAGTGTAGCAGTGGACCACACACTTTACGCGCTTTGGGGGGGCTTAGCTCCCCGTTTCAGGGAAGCATACTACGCCATTTGTGTAAGGTGGGGGTCACCCACCAGAGAGACGCTTGACGACATCATAGACGTTACTTGCTGGGTGGACTGTCTGAGGCCAGTCGATCTGATTAGGTACTGCAGGAGACGAGCAAAGATTGATTATGTGGGGCTGAAGGATGTGAGATTTCTCTTCGAGGTCGCAGCTTAGGGAATGCCGGGGAGAACGGCAACTGTGATGCGCTTAGATAAGCAACTAGTAAGCACAGGGTACACTGTGACGGTACTTCTCCGAGCATACATAGATGAGGACGTGACGGTGAGGGAGTGCCGACTACGAGCCAGGGATTTGATCCGCGAGCATAGAGCTGATGTACTGGCGCAGGTGACCTTCCAGATCTCGATTTCCTATGATGTGATGATATGGTCTCATGGTTATATGCGCGCCGAGCACTACCATGATGAGACGGTAGCGGAGGCTAGAGCGAGGGTATGAGGATGAGATGGAAAGAGATGTGGACAGAGTATGGAAGAGGAAGGTGAGGCGGTCGGAAGAGTGAGAAAACGCATTAAAGAACCACTCTTGAACCAGGTAAAGGAGTTGGGGAACAAGATAAGGGAGATCGGGTCGTGCCAGGATGAGGGCAAGCTGCGTAGGGTTGARCTCGTGACGAAAGAGTTAGAGAGTTTGTTCAGGGAGGATAGAGAGATTATCCAGGCGTGGAGATCAGACTTTCTGGTGAGGGTAAAGGCTAGGAACCTATCGCGCAAAGGAGCTAGGGAGAAGTCTGCAGAGGACGTGACAACGGAGGACGAGATAACGCAGAGAGATAGCAACAGGACATGAGCGGGACGGCCCTACACACGACGGATAAGTACTCATTGCATGTGGTAGGGAGACTGGACGGACCACTGGTGTTAGTGATCGCAGAGCTCCAGCTCCATACCAGGTTGTGCATAGTTGAGGAGGCAGAATGTTTTCGCCGTGCGCTGCGAGAGGTTAGGGGAACAAGACTTTGGATTGGAGTGGAAGAAAGACGAAGGATAAAGTACGTACTTCGCGTAACACCTTTCGAAGGGCGGCCTCAGATAAGGGCGTGGTAAGAGATGTGCAGAGAGGCTGAGAGGTTGAAGATAAGTGAAGCGAGGAAAGCTAGGGAGCTAGGGAGAGTTGTAGTAGACAGAGCGTGTTGGCCGCTCACGACCGATACTGGAGGGAATCGATAAAGACTTTAAAGGTCATAGAGGATAGTGGAAATGAGAGGGATTTTGAGGCGTTTTATGAGATATTGGAGTTGTCGGCGATGAGATTACGAGCGGCTATAGCACTGACTTTCCTCAGATGCTAGACAAATGATATTGAAGCTGTCTAGGAGTTAGAGGAGGAGAGACAGAGATTGTAAGCTCTTCGAAAGATACAGGAGGAGAGTTTCCTCCGTTCGCGGGCTACACGATTCAGGGCGGACTAGATGATCTAGTGAGGAGGACGGAGATAGACTCTCAAGGACTCTTGAGGGGTGCCAGTCAGGACACATTGGTTAGGCTTGGGATTGCGATCTGCAACAGGTGTAGAGATCCTGTCACTGGTGTAGTGCATATCAGGAGAGGCGCGACCTTGTTGGCAGATCCCGAAGGAGAGGTTTACATAGACACAGGTATTCTTGGGATAGAAGGTGAGCACGAGGTCCGCGACCGGAACGGAGTACTGGTGGCGGTGATCAGGGCGGTCGAGAGCTAGTAGTGGAGACGAGCGCAAACCGTGAAAAGTAAATAGGTCCGGGCTGCGAGTTCTGTCACAGGTCCGGGCTGCTGTGAGTTTTGTCACAAGTCCGGGTTGCTGCGAGTTCTGTCACAGGTCCGGGCTGCGGCAACTGTCATAGGGCCGGGCTGTAACGCCTGGCGTAAGTGCCCGCCTACGACTTCTGGTAGCCTATGGAACCAGACATGATGGGGTCACAACCGACCACGGGCGAAGCAGGAGAGGAGGACATGACATCGCCCGATCGAGCACTGACGGATCTGAAGGAACAAATTAGGCAGGGAGCGCCGTTGAGATGGGCTGACCAAACCAATGACGGAGAGCCCGACGTAATGGGCGAGCCGGTCGTGACAGAGCCGCAGGAGGGGCTATGGTATCACGGAATATCTGGAGAAGTGGGAACTTCATGCTAGCCGGAGTCAGTGGTCGGAGGAAGAGATTATAGAAAACTTCCTATTCAATGTAGATCCAAGTCTCGGCAAGGAAGTTAAGGAAACCCGACCGGAGGATGGGAAATGGACTACGTATAAGAAAAACCTTATTGAGCTTTACAAATTAGAGGATAACAAGTACTCCATCAAGGACCTTGAGACTATGACTCAAGATGAAGATGAGAGCGTACGGGCATTTGGGAAGCGTTTCCAGAAGATCTCCGACGTCCTGATGAAGAAGGGGAAGATCTCAGAGGTCGAGCGCTGTACTATCTTCATTGGACACCTGTCCAAAGGCAGACAAAATAGTATACTTAGAGATCTCCCGCACGACAAGCTTGACTTCCCTGAAGTCCTAAAACTCGCGATAAAGGCAGAGGCAGACGACTACAAGGACTTGGTACGGAGAGGAATGAGGAGGCGTGATTTTTCTCTCTATAAGGAATATGCCACTGATAGATGTCATGATTTCAAGGACTATCCCTGGTCGGAAAAGAATGCAGTCGTAGCTGAGGAAGTGAAGGAGATAAGGGACATGGTAAAGGGATTGACAAGACAGGTTACAGAGATTGTGACCACCACAGGAGCCGCAACTTACCGGGACAAACCCGGAGGACCCTATTCACTTCGATGGGACCAGAGGAACACCGATTCCTGGAGGAGTATCGAGGATAGAAATCCTTGAACGCTGACTGATTATCGTGCGAGGGAAAGGGGGAGAGACGATGAGCCATGGCGACGTAGGGATGATGATATAGACCGGGACCGCAGGGCTCGCGAGACGAATGGGCGAGCTAGGAGACTGGATAATTACTTGCGTAGCCCTCGCTATGAGGCTGATGGGGGTAGAGGCGACTCTTGAGGCCGGTGGGAGTCAGATCAGGGCCGGCGAGACAGATACAGGGACGACAGATATGAGAGATCGGACCGAGATGGATATAGGGACGACATATATGAGAGGTCGGATCGAGATGGATACAGGGGTGGCAGGTATGAGAGAGGAGATCGAGACAGAGACTGACGAGATGACTCGCGCGGACGGTATGACCGCATGGGATTCACGAGGGCGCAGCGTGACGATTCGCGGAGGTGGAACGACTGAGGAGATCGACGCGATGAGTCGCGCGGACGGTACGACCATCAGGACCGCCGGAATAACTCACGGGGACGATATGAGCAAGGAGGATCCGGAGCAGACCGCCGCAACAATTCGCGCAGCCGAAATGAGAGAGGGGGATATGGCGCGTCATCCGATTCGCATACAAAGTCCCCAGACCCCAGAGCAGCGAGGGGTTCGACCTCCAGAAGCGCAGACGACAGGTCACCCACTCCCAGAAACTCTTGCGTCTACTGTAGAGGGGATGATCATATCAAGAGAGACTGCCCGGATCTCAAACGGGCAATAGATGAGGGACTTGTCGTGCTTGATGACCGCAAGTACGTCAAGTGGGCAGATGATCTGGGAGACGTATCGATGTTCCCTTCGATGAAGGAGAATGTTGAAGCAAGGAGAGTAAAACCGAGTAAAGGAAAGGAGCCAGTTAGGAGCCAGAGCATCAAGATAACTTTCGAAGGAGATATGGCAACCACACCCATAAGGGTGGCAGCTACCAAGTCGGCGAGAGGGTCTACATCGAAGAAGACTGACACGGATTACGTGATGGCGGAGAAGGACGGACAACGGATCGATGGAGAGGAGGTTATTCTTTCACCGCGAAAGCGGGGAGTGAAGAAGTTCTTGATGAAGAGTTCGCTGGATGAGATTGACACGATCGAGCCACTGAGACGGGCCCTTCGGCAGCCCATACAGTGCTCTATTCTGGAATATCTGGCGGCATCCAAGCCGGTTCGCGACGAGTTACAGATGATCACGCCGAAGATTCGCATACCTCTATCAGAGGAGGCTCATGTGACCCCTAAGGCGGATGCTCCTACTGTAGCAGTATCGGAGGTGACTGCTAGAGCAGATCGCATGGAGACAGTCCTTCTTGATGGGATGGAAGGTGTGCCTCCAGACAAGTTTTACATACTTGGTAGTGGGACCGTGGAGACGATCCTAAACGACGGAGCGGTACTAGATGCTGTGATCGATAACGGCAGTGAGACTGCCATTATAGACGAGGATCTGGCAGAGCAAGTTGGACTGGGACTCGATAGGTCATACTTATTCGAGATAGAGACGGCTGATGGGAGAAAACAACAAATCATAGGAGTTTGTCACAAGGCAGCCATAGAGGTCCAAGGGGTACGAGTGACCCTGCCAGTCTTTGCAGTCAAGAACTGCAGCTCTGACCTGCTCTTGGGTTGGACGTGGCTGAGCCATATGCATGCGGTAACGATAGAGCGACCGGACGGGAGCCAGACACTGCCCATGAAGAAGCTAGATGGGGCGCGGATAATGATTGAGACGGTGGAGCCTCGAGACCCGAGGAACAGGGCAGCTCTCGCTGTAGGAGTAGAACCTAGTGATCGGATTAAGTCATTATCTATCTCCGGCCGCGTGGTGCGATTTCGCGAGAAGAAATGTGGACCTCTGCTCACAGAAGAAGAAGGTCGGATTGTAGAAGTGGAAGATTTAGGGAGTCGGCTGATAGTGGACGGCAATTCGTATCCAAAGGAGGCAGATGAGGAGTTTGGCGGCGTGGTATCTGTGTCTTTTTAATGGCACGGCCCCCTATGGAGGGCTACCCAAGCGACACAAGCGAGTAGCCCAGAAAGTTAAGCCAGCGACGGTGGGCCGCGAACGATCTGCACTGGAAGGGGTATCGGAGGAAGAGATCGTAAAGGAAATTAAGAAAAGAAAGAAAAAGGAGCCGCAACGCTTAACGGAAGAGAGGATAGCGGGGATGGACATCGGAGATGGGAATCTGACCCCACAGGAGCGGGAGCGTGTGATAGAAATCCTAAAGACGTGCGATAAGGCAATAACTTTCAGCGACGCGGAGCGTGGTAGGGTTGACCCTCGATACGCTAAGCCAACAAGGATTTATACGATTCCACATGTTCCATGGAATGAGGCAGGATGGAAATACGCCCAGAAGGAGAAGGAAGAGGGTATCGCTTTCCTGAAAGAAAAGATGGTTTCTCATGTTGCTGAGCCATCTGATAGCGCTTATGCTAATTGATGGTTCTTCCTACGAAAGCCGAATGGCAAGATCCGGTGGATCCAGGACCTTCAGAAGGTCAACGCGGTGACGATTCGAGACGTAGGCTCCGTGCCTCACGCCGACTTACTGGCTGAAGGCACCGCGGGCAGGTCGATTTATTCGGTCTGTGATCTGTTCTCAGGCTATGATGAGGTGTCGCTTGATCCCAGGGACAGGCACCTCACGGCTATGCACACGCCATTGGGACTGATACAGATGATGGTCGTCCCTATGGGTTGGACTAATGGGGTAACCATTTTTCAGAGGGCCATGGTAGCCGTCCTCAAGGACTTTATTCCTGACAAGGTTGAAGTTTTTCTGGATGAATTTCCTATAAAAGGACCAATAAAGAAATATGAGACAGAGGTTGTGTGAGGGGTTAGAAGATTCGTCGAACAGCACCTAACCGATATTTGCGCGATACTTGAGCAGCTGGACGATGCAAATTTGACAGTCAGCGGAACAAAGAGCCGGTGGACCGTCTTGACTATTAAGATCTTAGGCTTTATCTGCGACTCAAGAGGACGCCGAGCAGATCCAGCAAAATTAGACAAACTCCCAGATTGGCCGTCGCCATTGCATAGTGCTACCGAGGTCCGTCAATTTCTGGGAGTGGTCGGTTACTGGCGGATTTTCATACGCAGGTATGTGGATAAGGCTGAGCCATTAAGGGTACTCCTTCGGAAGACTGAGAAATTATACTGGGATTCTTCTCAAGAACTCGCTATGCAAGAGCTTAAGGATGAATTTAAGGAGGGAGGACGCGTACTGGGCGTGCCGTTCTTTGATGATGAGGCCGGAAGGTCCTTCATAGTATCCACGGATGCTGAACCTTGTTCAGCTGGTGGGCTGCTGTCTCAGAAGGACACAAAAGGAAAGGAAAGACCGTTAAAATTTGAGAGTAGGACACTTAATACGGCTGAGCGTAACTACAGTCAATTCAAGAAGGAAGTGTTAGTTGTCCTGCGGTATCTAGACACGTTCAGACACTATATCTACGAACGACGGTTCATCTTAAGAGTAAATCCCACAGCGGTCGCCTCTGTCCTCCAGAAGGACTTTAGTCTGACGGACCCGACCATCGCACAATGGTTGATGCAGATTCGACTCTATGATTACACAGTTGAGATAATATCGGTACTAAAAAATCGTAGCGGACGTCCTTTCTCGGATCCCTTTGGAGGCTGAGCGTCCGATAGTGGCTGGAGCCCTGACTATGGCGGAACCGAGACGCACCGATCGATTCTTGGTTAACCTTTACGAGGGTAAATACCGAACGATCGGACTACATTTGTCAGGAAAAGATAGTCAAGATACAGATATCCGGAGACAAGCGGCCCAGTACTGCCTTAGAGCGGGTCATCTATTCCGAAGACCAGTCGGGTCAGGGATGCCCCTACGAGTAGTCTGTGATCCTGAAGAGAGACAGACGATAGTTGCGGAGCTTCACGACGGGGTAGTCGATGGTCATAGAGGAGTCAAAGGAACCTTCGAATCATCCATCCTATCCAACCAGGCCAGGAGAGAAGGTACACATTGATTTGGTGAAGATGCCGAAAGGAGTAGGCAATATGAATTACGTTGTGAACATACGAGACATTTTCACTGGGTTCGTGGACAGTAGACCTATCAGGAGTAAGATGGCAAGGGAAGTGAAGAACTTCGTCCTAGAGTACTTATCTAGGTATGGTTGTGTCAGCAAGATAGTGATGGACAGAGGGGCGGAATTTCTAGCTGACGAGGTTCAGAGTGTGTTCAAGAGAGCTGGGGCGAGAGTTTCGATAGCCACCGCCTACCACCCACAGTCGAACTCCCTTGTAGAGAGGGGATACCAGACTCTGATAGCGTCACTATCCAAGTGGTGCAAAGGTAAGGACATCGATTGACCACGATATTTTCGATATGCAATATGGGCGAACAACGTCACGGTCCAGGCTAGCACTGGGTACCCACCATACACCTTGTGGTTCGGACGACATTGTCCTCTCCCTATAGAGTTCCACGTCGACAGCTGGACAACCGTCGACTGGGCGGAAAGGATGTCCAGAGAGGAACTCCTAGCTGCCCGAACAAGACAGATAGCCTATGGTTTGGAAGACAACCTTATGACAGCCGCAGATCGTCTGGCAGTGGAGAGGGACAAAGGAAAAAAGAGATGGGATAAGGGTGTGCGGATCAGGAAAGAGAGGGTGAGCGTAGGAGATATGGTCCTTCTCTACGACGCAACACTGGAAAGGACCTAGACCGGAAAACTCGCCAACAGATGGATGAGACCTTACAAAGTGGTTGAGGTGCTCGACCAGGGTGCCTATATGATAGCAGAATTGGACGGATCCAAGTGGAAGGACCCAGTGGCGGGTGCTAGGTTAAAGTTGTTTAGACCCAGGCCAACACCCACCTTATCGCTGACAGGCCCGAAAGGGAAAGGGAAGGCCAAAATGGAGGATGGAGCCCCCTCGAGACGATTCGAGGCAGAGGAAAGTTCCAAGAAGAGGAAAAGAATGGAGAAAAGAAAGGTCAAAGGGTTGACATTAGGAAGAGTGAAGAAATGGTTATTCGTGCTCAAGAGGGTCAGATGGAGAGTTCACATTAGACAAACTGGCGGGTCGGCACTTCTCTCGGGCCAACGTCAGAAGAAAAAGAGGATCCTACCAAGGCCAAGATCCCGAAGGAAAAAGAAAGTCAAGAAACATCTTCTTAGCCCCAGAACTCATAACAAACTGAGACATGAGACAATTAAACGCCGACGTGGGCGTCCTTTACGGGCAATCACCCTGAAGCTCGTCCGCTTCGTTTGACGAAAGTGGATAGGGCTCGATGGGGGCGTCGAGAAGTGGTCCGGGCTAACTGTCAGGCGGCCACAAGCAGTGCTCCGCCTGAAATTTGCAGCTTTGGGACTTAGGCTCAAGGACAAGTCCGTGTTTTGACGGTACTCTAGTTTGACCAGGCAACAGAAATTAGGGGAACTTAGGGCACCCCTGATTTTGGGCGCACTGAACCTTACGAGTAACCCTCAAAGACGGCGAGATGGGTGGCCGCACTCGRCAYATCTAGGGACYGTYATTTCCGGCCGTTCAGAGGGTTAGACCCGGATTGGCCTGTCGCGGAGAGGCATCGCGGGGACTGACCTCGCCGCAAYGTTTTTGCAGCATACGACCGGGGCCGAAATGAGGCCTCRAATTTTTGTCTATTTTAGTACCATAACTAAAGATGGGGAAAAGGGATTAAGACCTGTAAGGGAGAAGAGAAAAACATAATATCCCTTAATTTCTTTATTTTTCACGGCATTTAATTCTAGGGGGAAMACCYTTGTTATTTTATGTTCCCGGCAATGAAATTAAAAACATAGAAAAATATTAAAAATGGTAAAAGAGAAAAAAAACAAAAGGGATTCGGCCATTTATATAAACTTTCTCGGAATTTAATTTTGGGGAATTTAWGGTTRATTTACTATTTTYGACAATWGAATTAAGRAAAAGGAAGAATGATTAAAGACGATGAGAGGGATGGGAACCCATGACTATTGGGAGATTGGCCTAATTTYGCCTCGATTCCCCGCCATCAGCTCTGACCCCGGATTGATCATTTTCTCTGGATTCTAAYAGTTTTCAMTACTGTCGATGGTCGAGATTCCCTGCGTCGCTTTCCCTGGTTTGCTTGATTACTAACATTACCGCACTTGGGATATTCTGAGAGTGGGAGTCGCATGGACGGCGTGGGATGGTGCTGCCTTGGGGCGACAATATGGTATTTGGCTCGACAYGGATATGTGGATCAGCGGGGTTCAGTATTGTTACGAGGTGGCCACGACCTATGGTATACGATGTGTTTCTGGTTCAGGGTGGCTACGRCGATATATTTCCAGGTCCGGGATCCCTACAGCGGGTTAACTCACGTTCGGGGACACCATGGTGATTTATTGTCAGGTTCGGAGCCGCTACGGCAGTCTGTTACAGGTTCGGCGTCGTCACGGTGATTTACTTCAGGGGCGTGGATACGGCAGTTTTTTTTTGGTACGGTACTAGCACGATGATTATTTTCATGCCCCGTATTTATTCAACATTGACAAGTAACAGGTTTGGTGCTATTATCGGGCTGTGGTGTTCTACGATACTTGGCGCGCTTCGGGCTCGATATTGACTCGATACTCGACATGTTCCGGGTTCGGCACAGGTTCGGAATTGGCACGGTATGGTATTCCACATTGGTTCGATATTGTGCTGAGTTGGGACAGGAGCGGTACACTAGGGTGAAACGGGCTCAGCACCGCTATGGGACAGGCTGTAGACCCCGACTTGGAATGGTACGGCTCTTTAATCGATAGGCTGGCCGAGGCGGAGCCACCTCAGCCTCGATATTTGGACTGTTTCCGAGGATACCTGGTTCAACACAGGTATAGCTGTGTCGCCACAATCCTGTCTGCTTTCGAGACCACTCGTAAGGAAATTCGGCAACCCGCAGTTTGGAACATTATAGTTTACAAGTCCGGCATGGCACGAGAAACCTTGTACCATCTGGTCCGCAGTACAGTYGTCRTTCCRTTTGCGGCCCTGGTACTACTTATATGGGTGGGAC